AACCACGCATTTGGTGGACTGACATCTGAACACTGGTTGTCACCTGTTTCTCATGGCCACAAGGTAACTCCAGTTGTAAAGGTGTCAGCTTCACAAACATGTATGTTTAGTCTCTGGAGCCCATGTAAGGTAGAAGACAACTAGCCCACAGTTTTTCTGTGAGCTCCTCATGCACGCTCACACACCATACACAAAACACTAAATTAAAATTTAAGTCTTTACAAACTAAACCAGTGCGTGTATTTGTTACTTTTAAACCTTACTTAAATTCTGAGCTTTACTTAATCTTGCTGTGAATTACAGGCTTTGTGGATTGGCTTAGAAAACCACAGCAGAACGTACAGCTATGTTTTGGGTCTGTGCTCTGCCCTTCCCTTCATGCCTCTTTGTCTAAATACCTGATATACTGACTGCTTTGTTCTCTCTGGTCCTGAGTTCTTTTCTAAGGCGGAGTTAAGGATCTGGCTTTACCTGAGCCGGAGCAGAGGTCCCGATGGGGGAAGGGAACCCCTCAGGCTGCAAGTGCCTGTGTCTCCAGGCTGCACCAGGTTGACAATCCGAGTCAATGCTTTTCTGACTTTAGTTTGCATGCAAACCTTGTGAACGTGTTGTGGGAAAGGAGGCTGTGATTCATTGGCATGAGTTACCCCAACCACTTGGAGAGGGGAGGTACAGCCTCTCAGGTTCCAGACAGAAAGGTGTCACCTTCATCTCACCTTCACCTATCAGAACACGTGCCTGTTCACGTGGCTTCTCTATCAGAAGAGCAAGGGTGAGGAGAAGAGAGAGGAGAGAGGAGGAGAGTGAAAGTAGCTCTGTGATTGGCTGTGCATCTCCAGACTGGCGCCTGCTGGGGATACTCAAAAGGGATCACAGTTCCTGAGGTTCGAGACTCACCCAGTGTTCCTTGTACAGCCATGGCCCAGCAGTTATGGGTCTCCTGTCTTGTCACACTGTTTCTTGCTGTCTTGTCTCAGGAGTCTCTGAGTCCTCAAAAAGCAAAGGTAAGTGACTCCCCTCCCCCTGCCCGGGATCTAAACTAATTCCAACATCTGATAAGTAACGCAGCTACCAAGAGATTCAGGAGCCTATCCTGCTGCTGAAGGGAGAGAGCTGCCCGACAGCCTTTCTCTGCATATTTCTGCCACGGAGGCCCTCTGCCACAGCACCCGGCCTGCCTCTGTTCACTGTGCTTTCTTGTGCTTTCTATGCATCTTCTCCGCTTCTCTGTACTTTGTGGATCTTTGAGCTGCCCCCTTCCCCAGATCCATGTCCACTCCTCCTTGATGGCTGCTTGACAATCAGAATCTGCTCTGTCCCATGCTGATCTGTACTTTGGAGCAGCCCCTTGGGTTCTGGGAAATGAGTGGTTAAGTAGCAAGTGAGTTGGGAGGGAGAATGATTGCTCTCAAACCAATTGGACCAAACAGGGAGAGAGAGAAAGAGAGAGAGAGAGAGAGACAGAGAGAGAGAGAGAG